CCGGAACTGGAACTGCCAAATTTAAAAAAGGTTCAGGAACTTGAACTTACCAATGAAGCTTCGCTGGCACATGAAACTTTCATTTCCAATGAAGCTTTGCTGTCAAGGAGTTTTTCCAGGGATTTTGGCAATTGTGGAGGGACGGCATGGCATTTTGCAATACCGAATTTTTCTGGATTCTATTATCCCTCGCATTTAGGTTTTTCAATGAAAAGCTGACTGACAATGTTGGAGAGAGAAGAGAAGTCATGTTTGGCATTCTACATTGTTTCTTCCTTTAAATTATCCCCCCCCCACCATCCCCCTCTTCACCTCCACTATCTCCCTCTTCCACATTCCATTGATTAACTTATTCTCTAAGCATGACTCCTCTTGTGATAATAGAATAATAGAATTATTGGGGGGAGGGCATGCCATTTTTTTGTCTCTTCCTTTAAATTTGCCTGGCAATGTTGGAGAGAAGAGAGAAGTCATGTTTGGCATTCTACATTGTTTCTTCCTTTAAATTATCCCCCCCCCCACCATCTCTCCCTTCATTCCATTGATTAACTTATTCTCTAAGCATGACTCCTCTTGTGATAATAGAATAATAGAATTATTGGGGGGAGGGCATGCCATTTTTTTGTTTCTTCCTTTAAATTTGCCTGGCAATGTTGGAGAGAAGAGATTAGTCATGTTTGGGATTCTACATTGTTTCTTCCTTTAAATTATCCCCCCCCCCCCACCATCTCTCCCTTCATTCCATTGATTAACTTATTCTCTAAGCATGACTCCTCTTGTGATAATAGAATAATAGAATTATTGGGGGGAGGGCATGCCATTTTTTTGTTTCTTCCTTTAAATTTGCCTGGCAATGTTGGAGAGAAGAGATTAGTCATGTTTGGGATTCTACATTGTTTCTTCCTTTAAATTATCCCCCCCCCCCACCATCTCTCCCTTCACCTCCACTATCTCCCTCTTCCACATTCCATTGATTAACTTATTCTCTAAGCATGACTCCTCTTGTGATAATAGAATAATAGAATTATTGGGGGGAGGGCATGCCATTTTTTTGTCTCTTCCTTTAAATTTGCCTGGCAATGTTGGAGAGAAGAGAGAAGTCATGTTTGGCATTCTACATTGTTTCTTCCTTTAAATTATCCCCCCCCCCCCCACCATCTCTCCCTTCACCTCCACTATCTCCCTCTTCCACATTCCATTGATTAACTTATTCTCTAAGCATGACTCCTCTTGTGATAATAGAATAATAGAATTATTGGGGGGAGGGCATGCCATTTTTTTGTCTCTTCCTTTAAATTTGCCTGGCAATGTTGGAGAGAAGAGAGAAGTCATGTTTGGCATTCTACATTGTTTCTTCCTTTAAATTATCCCCCCCCCCCCCACCATCTCTCCGTTCATTCAATTGATTAACTTATTCTCTAAGCATGACTCCTCTTGTGATAATAGAATAATAGAATTATTGGGGGGAGGGCATGCCATTTTTTGTTTCTTCCTTTAAATTTGCCTGGCAATGTTGGAGAGAAGAGAGAAGTCATGTTTGGCATTCTACATTGTTTCTTCCTTTAAATTATCCACCCCCCCCCCCACCATCTCTCCCTTCACCTCCACTATCTCCCTCTTCCACATTCCATTGATTAACTTATTCTCTAAGCATGACTCCTCTTGTGATAATAGAATAATAGAATTATTGGGGGGAGGGCATGCCATTTTTTTGTCTCTTCCTTTAAATTTGCCTGGCAATGTTGGAGAGAAGAGAGAAGTCATGTTTGGCATTCTACATTGTTTCTTCCTTTAAATTATCCCCCCCCACCATCTCTCCCTTCACCTCCACTATCTCCCTCTTCCACATTCCATTGATTAACAAATTCTCTAAGCATGACTCCTCTTGTGATAATAGAATAATAGAATTATTGGGGGGAGGGAATGCCATTTTTTTGTTTCTTCCTTTACAGGGTGACATAAAAGAAACTGCACACTTAGTTTTTGGCATAACTTTATTCAAATCAAAGATATTGGGCTCAGATAAAGTTTATATGATAGAGAAATAAATAAGGAATAGAAATTGTCAAGAATTTTCGAAGTGACTCTCCCTTATTTGGATAAAGAGTAAAAGGCGCGGAGAAAAATATTGAGTAAAAGTTCGCAAGTCGAAAAATTTTTTTCAGAGAATAAATTTTTTATGAACTGATCATGTCAAAATTACCAAAGTGACTTATCTTGGGCAAAAAAGTCTCCTCTTTCTAATCCACTTGTTACTTATTTCCAAAACCTTTTTTCTTTAATGATATAGCTTGTTATTTGCAGAAGGTTCAAAATCCCCTGATTTTCGTGAATCCTTATGGTTTTCGTGGATTTACTAGAAATCCTTCAAGGTGTTTACAGCCTTGGATCCGGAGCCACTTTTGGCATAGGGAAGGGATCCTTTATCAGAATTCTTCCTTTTTTAATAAGACCATTAAAGTGCAGGGTTGGTGTGCAGCCAACTTACCCGGTTTTAACCCATCTCAAATAATGCCACCGTACTCATCGGATTTGAATCCGTTGGATTGAATTTTTATTCTGCTTTGAAGGCAAGGGTCTGTTCTTAATAAAACAGAAGTTTTGTGTCGCTTCGTCAACCACTCGCCCAGGAATGGGAGAAAATCTCATCCATATAGGTGCGAACTTTTGCCTAAAATTTTTCCAAGCGCCTTGAACACTGTATCCGAGCACAGGGTGGTATTTCGAAAATTCTTAATTGTTTTGTTCCCCAATTATTTCTCTATTATTTAAGCTTTATTTCATCTCATTATCTTCAATTCGAGTAAAGTTATTTCAAAAATACTGTGTGCAGTTTCTTTTATGTCACCCTGTAAATTACCCCCCCCCCCACCATCTCTCCCTTCACCTCCACTATCTCCCTCTTCAACATTCCATTGATTAACTTATTCTCTAAGCATGACTCCTCTTGTGATAATAGAATAATAGAATTATTGGGGGGAGGGCATGCATATTTTTGTTTCTTCCTTTAAATTTGCCTGGCAATGTTGGAGAGAAGAGAGAAGTCATGTTTGGCATTCTACATTGTTTCTTCCTTTAAATTATCCCCCCCCCCCCCCCCCACCATCTCTCCCTTCACCTCCACTATCTCCCTCTTCCACATTCCATTGATTAACAAATTCTCTAAGCATGACTCCTCTTGTGATAATAGAATTATTGGGGGGGGGGGGGGGGGAGGGAATGAATTATTGGGGGGAGGGAATGCCATTTTTTTGTTTCTTCCTTTAAATTATCCCCCCCCCCCACCATCTCTCCCTTCACCTCCACTATCTCCCTCTTCCACATTCCATTGATTAACTTATTCTCTAAGTTGACTCCTCTTGTGATAATAGAATAATAGAATTATTGGGGGGAGGGCATGCCATTTTTTTGTTTCTTCCTTTAAATTTGCCTGGCAATGTTGAAGAGAAGAGAGAAGTCATGTTTGGGATTCTACATTGTTTCTTCCTTTAAATTATCCCCCCCCCACCATCTCTCCCTTCATTCCATTGATTAACTTATTCTCTAAGCATGACTCCTCTTGTGATAATAGAATAATAGAATTATTGGGGGGAGGGCATGCCATTTTTTTGTTTCTTCCTTTAAATTTGCCTGGCAATGTTGGAGAGAAGAGAGAAGTCATGTTTGGCATTCTACATTGTTTCTTCCTTTAAATTATCCCCCCCCCCCCACCATCTCTCCCTTCACCTCCACTATCTCCCTCTTCCACATTCCATTGATTAACAAATTCTCTAAGCATGACTCCTCTTGTGATAATAGAATTATTGGGGGGGGGGGAGGGAATGAATTATTGGGGGGAGGGAATGCTATTTTTTGGTTTCTTCCTTTAAATTACCCCCCCCCCCCCACCATCTTCCCTTCACCTCCACTATCTCCCTCTTCCACATTCCATTGATTAACTTATTCTCTAAGCATGACTCCTCTTGTGATAATAGAATAATAGAATTATTGGGGGGAGGGAATGCCATTTTTTGTTTCTTCTTTTAAATTTGCCCCCCTCCCTCTCCCTCTCTATTCCCAATGAAGCTTTGCTGTGAAGGAGTTTTTCCGAGTTTTCCCCATATCTCCTTTTAACTCTGCTATTGCCTTCCACTTTCTATTGTTTAACAAATTCTCTGAACATGACAGTTCTTGTGATTGGGTTGTCGGTTTCACATATTCTTCGCAATTTCTAATGATACTCTGAATTCTTCTAAATAGTATTTAAAAGTTTTGAATATATTTACTCATTTTGTATAAGCACGACATTTTTTAAACAAAATAATTTTATAAAATATTAAAGAATACATCTATATTTAAATTTTTAAAATTATTTTAGGCTATCATTTTATGATTATATTTATGTTGCCGATTCTTTCGCCATTTACTTTGGCTTTGCTAAGCTTAGTTCGAGGTAAGTATTTTTTTATTAATTTTAATGCTTTGAAAATTATTAAAGAATTTTTTAATATTCTTTTGGGCTTTGTGTTAGGATTGCGCGATGTGGAGGGATTTCTAAAAAAACTGAGACTGAGGATCACCGAGGCTGTAAAACCAAGATCGAGAGCCGAGGCAAATTGGACGAGGTCCGGGGTCGCGCAACCCTAATTTTTTTGGCAAAGCCCTGAAACTTCGTGAAGGACAGAATGAACAATCGTTAATCCAACTTAACTAAACAGCTAAACCTTTCAGCTGAATGTGGAATTATGGCAATCCCCGAATCTAACTATTTGAAAATGGGAGGCTAATTAGATAGGGCCGATTGGCGAAGATCCAAACTAACTCTATTTGTAAACGGGAGTCCAATTGGCTTGGGAGGCAAATACAACTAATAAGGATATTTAATAAAATGGATTAGTAAAATTAGCTAATCCGGAATTCTTAAAAATTATTCGAACATTTAAACATAATATTATAATTTTGTCACATTTAAATTTCAAATAAAGGATCGATTGCTGGTTGTATTCCAAGTACTCGAAGTCATGGAACTGAAGTATTTGGTTAGCTTTTGTTTATTTGGAGTTCTTCTCTTAATATAATTTTATTTTTTAAATTTAACTTTTAAGAAATAGCTACAACCTCTCAGGTAAGTGAACCTAGATGTAACTGTCAACAAAATACGATTATGGAATTAAACACACAAATGACAATTAATGATGTTGTAGTAAAATTTACACATCGAGGTGATAATATTGGTGAAGGGAATTTTGGTCTGGTGAGATATTTTTGTTTTAATTTTCATTTAATAATCTCTTAAATTCAAGGTTATACATGCTTTTGATTCTGATAATAATAAATGTTTTGCTCTAAAAGCATCTGTAATTGATGAAGGAAATGAACACGTAGTACAAAGAGAATTGGATGTTTTAAATTATTTTAATACATTGGAAGAACAACATGGATTTGCAGCAAGAAATCACATTATAAAAATGCATGAAATGTATGTAGGTGTAAAAACTCGGTATAAATGAGATAAAAAAACTAGATTTGAAAAGTTTAATGTGTTTTCCTTTGACTTTTTTATTTTAGTATTGAAAATTACTTCAATTATTTTTTAAGGAAACGTGAAGCTAATATGACGTATTTACTCCTAGAGCTTGGAGGAAAATCTTTGGGAGAGTACTATCGTAACAAGGTTTCATTCATGCATGGAAGAAGAGTAAAAAAGCAATTTTTAACAAATATTCTTAAAGGGGCGGCTCAAGCGCTCCATCAATTCCATCAACGTGAGACTAAATATACACTAAAATATTATTAAATAAATTTAGATGGAATTCATCTTGATGTTAAAGAAGATAATTTTGTCATAGCTCTTGATGAAAATCAATCTGAATCCAATCTTAATCCAGAATCCAATGAAACAATTCCTTTCAAATTGATTGATTTTAACCTTTCTGTAATACCAGAAAGAGGACATGTTCTCCATACTGAAATGATGCTAGCTGTAATAAAAGCTCCCGAGCTTCTAGCCGATCAACGCAATGTAATTTAAATTTTATTAATTTCACAGTCAAATTGGTTAGTTAATGGCAGTGCTGGGTATTTCCCATTTGTTGGCTCCGGCTCCGGACATTCAAAATCTTGGCTCTGGGCTCCGGCCTTTTAAAATCTTAGTTCCGACTCCGGAGCCGGCGATTTTCGGAGTCGCTCCATGTTGGATTCGGGCTCCGGGTGGAAAATCAATGAATTATTTTTCATTGGGGGATTTGGGTAGATAAGGGGGGATATCGAGTTATCGTGTGATTTAGGTGGATTAAGTTCGATATCGGGGAATTAAACTGTATTATTGGGATTTGGATCCAAAAATCTCTGCGAAAATTTGTAAAATTTTTGACGATCCTTATGCAAAAAATCTTTTTTTTGCGCCGCAGGTGTAAATCTTGAAAAATTTTGAAAAAATATTCAGACTTGGCGAGGACATCTTTATTATTTTACCTCTTAATCTCAATCCATCTATAGCTCCTACACCTTCAATTTTACCAAATCGTTAATTAAAATTATCAAATTTTTTATAAATTATTTTTAGCTTACCGAGAAAGCTGACGTTTGGTCATTTGGCTTGATGGCTCTTGGTCTCTTCAACAATTCTTTTAAAAATTATCGTAACTTTGATTTTTATACATAAAAAAATTTTTTTTAAATAATCGTTATAGTAAATAAATCCTATCATGAAATAATTGGTATGGTAAATCATTACAAAACCAATAGAAATTTTAATGGAACTTTAGATAAAATTATAAAGGTAAAATAATTATTTGTTATAAAATTACTTATAAGCAACCTTTAGAACAATTTGTGCCCCTCAAAAATAAACGTCTTTAGTGTAGGAATAAAAAAATTTTTATGGTTTGAAAAAATTTAAACAATTTAAACAAAATTTAAATTGTTGTCCTTTTAGGGGTGCGCACGCTTAAATCCTTCATTTTTAAATAAAAATATTTTAAACAATAAGTTTACGAAGAAATTATATTAACCATAAAATCAGGGAAACCACATTGTTCCTAAAATGCCTCTTCTTTGCACGACATTTAATTTCTATTTTTTCACATTTATTTTTAGAGTAATTTAACCAAAAAGGGAAATAAATTTTAGGAAATTTATTTGATTAAAATAAAATTCCAGAAATGCCTTGATGAAGATCCAAACGAGCGCCCAACAATGGATGTTGTTTTCCGTGTTTTAAATGGAGAATAGTTTTTAAACGGACTTGTAAAATGACACCAAAATCGAGAAAATTTAAACAAAAACAAAAGAAGTCTGAAAATTCTTATTTTTCCTATATTTGTAGCTTTATTTTTTTTGTGGGTACTAAGATTAGAACTAAATTTCGGGTATCTTAAATCGTAACATGTTTTTCATATTTAAATACCTATATTTTTTCGATCCATTCTTTTTAGCGCTATTAAGAAAGCTGAAATTTTTATCATTGGGTTAAAAAATTCTGGCATTACTGGGAACTGAACGAAACATACTGTTATAATGAACTATTAAGTGGTCTTTTTTCGGGTCCAGTTGTCAATATCCACAAACATTATTGGGTAAGCATATTGGGTGGGTTTATGTAATTTGGTAGCTTGTAGCTGACAATGAACAAAACAAAAAACCTTCACTTTTATTTTATTTTTTATTAAAAAGTTTTCTTTATTTTATTTCAAAGTTATTGGGACAAAACCGTTTAATATTGAAAAAACCGTATACCGTTTATGCCGTTTATCTGAGACCCGTATACCGTTTCGTTTATTTTTTAAGACCCCGTTTAAAATTCCGTTTACCGTTTATTTTTAAAAATTTTTAAAAAGGACCAAGTTTATATTTTAGGCCAAGTTTATATTTTTCAAAAATTTTTGCAAATTTTATAAAGGATAAGAGAGTATTTGTATGGATTATGGGAAAATAGGAAAATAACACGATATTGCCCCCAAATTTTCTTAATAAAAAATCTGACACTTTTAGTGAAATTCTCAATCGCCTGCTGCGTTAAAAAAGGAAGAAATAAAGCTTCTTGACCTTCGAATTCTCGAAATTTTTGCCTGTTCGCTAAACAAGGATGTGTGCGGCGCTAAAAAGTTGAGTTTTTTGAAGGACATAGAAGGTCAGTTGTAATTAGCAAAGATTTTGAGATTTAAGGAATCAAAGTAGCCAAAATTCTCCCTTTTCAGCGAATTTTGATAATTTTGGAATTCCAACAAGCTATATTTCTTCCTATTTTTTGCGCCGCAGGCGAAAATTTTTCGATTTTAGCGTATCAGAAGGCAAGAATTCACGTTTTAAGCCACTAATTCTGGGAAAAAATTAATAAACGCCGTTTAGAAAGACCGTATACTATTATTTTAAATGCTATTCAAAATTGTAATTTGTTTTTTGGTAAAGAGTAAATTTTAAAATCCTCTAAATTTTTATTTTTTAAAGAGAAAATAGCTAAATACAGTGCGGTGCATATGTTTATCAACTTTTAATTTGTAATTTAAAAAGGGCTGTTATTATCCTAATTGCTGAAAGTAAATCAGAATTTTTTCAACAATTTAATACGTCTATATATCTAGTCTAAAAATCATTTAAAAGTTTTATTTCATTACCATAGGGAAAAAGTTATAACAATTTAAATGTTGCTGTCCTAAAGTTTGCCGGTGCATATGTTTATCAACTTTTATTAAATCGAAGAAAATTTTATATTGCAATGTCCCAAAAATTCTACAAAAATTTATGTGGACATTTCCATCGATAAAGTGTAGAAAAGTAACTAGAACGAAGTCTGTAACTTATTTTTTCACTGAGATCTCAAATCTCAAAAATCAGCGGGAAATCGGATTACAGTACTTCAAAAAATATTTTAACCCCCAAGAGCTTGATGTGGAAAAATACAGCCCCATTTCAACAAATTAAGAATTTCCCGGTTTCCCGGCCGGGAAACGGTCATTTTTGACCGGGTTGAAAACGGGAACGGGAATTCCCGGTTTTACCGGTCCGGGTCCCTCCCGGTCAACCTTCAAAACCCGTTTCCCGGTTCCCGGACCCGGTTTTTTTCAAAATTCCGAAAAGGTTTTTTTCAAAATTCAAAAATTTCGATCTCTACTTCGAAAACCTTTATAAACCTTTATTTATATGTATAAAAATAATAAATAAATTAATTAAATAAATTTTTTAAATTTAAAGTCAAATTTAAAAAGTGAATTATTAAAATTTTAAAGTGAATTTATTGACAAATTTTTTCGACTTGCTTTAAAAATTTTAAAAAATTCAATAAAATGTTAATAGAAATTTTTAAAAGTTTTATCTAATAAAATAATAACAAAAACAAAACATATGTTGATAAAACAACAAAATTTGGTAATTCCAAGGCTGGTCCCCCCTTTTTTTCTGTTCGCCTGACTATTTTGAGCTTTTTTGCATGACTTGACATATAATTTACAATATATAATTCGAAAGAGCTGTCGATCTTAGTAGAATGATACTATAATCGGTTAAATTTGGAGATTCTGAGCAGAATTAGTAAGCTAAATCCTCGATGGACATGCTTTTTGTGATGTTGAAAGGGATTAAAACAAATGCTCATAACTATGTTTATTTAAGTCGGATTTCGATGAATTTAGTACGTTCGACTTAGCTTGAAGAGCTCTTTCGAACTATATATAATTTGCCATAAAAAGTTTAAAAAATTGAAATAACTAGAAAGGAAAAACGGCCTTGGAATTGACCAGCCTTGGAATTACCCAAAATTTGAATACATGAAAATGTGCTTTATATCTTCAATATTTTTATTTGTCTATATGGTTGTACATTTTGTTTCTACGTTTTTCTATTGACCGGGACAGCTTAGAGGGCCAGAGTGTCCTGATTGACTTTAACCCACTTCCTTTAACATTTGGGTAAAAATCTGTTTATACATAGTCTCTATGAATTTACCTCCTTGAATTCTTAATGTCAATCGCCAAATGGCGCCTGGGTGGCCTGGTAGACCAACGCGGCCAGGTGCTCCCTTTGTAACAACCCCGCTAAAATGCCAGAAATGTTTGGAATGATGGAAGATAGAAATGAATAAAATAAAAGTTTATTAAATAAAACTTTTAAAATTTAAATTTATAAATATATTTATTTAAAATTTTTTTTATTTTAAAGCCTGTCAATAAAAATCTGTCAATAAATTCATTTTAAATTTTTTAATTTGCCTTCTCCCTATTGCCTTCCCTTGAATAATTTAATAAAAATTAATAATGTATTGCTGGCTAATTATTATAGACATCCCTCATAAATACATTTTTAAACTTGCGTTAATTTTTAATTTTTGCCATTGAATTAAAAAAAGTTATTTAACTTATTTATTAAACTTTATTTAATTTTAACATCGGATTGTCGAATTGTGCGATAATTTTTATAACTTTGACCAGCGAAGTGTAAAATATTATTTATTCTGAATTATATAATGATTATTACATACGCCAGTTGTACCTAAGTTCTGGCCAATGGCAAATTCATAGAACATTAACAAAATGCAAAAATTTCTATTTAAATCTCTTATAACTCTAAATTAAAAGCTGCGCGAAACTTAAATTTTATAAGACAACACAAAATAAAGTAATTAAAAAACAAATTTATTGCTTCCTTATTCACTGTAGTCAATTATAGAAATACTTTCATTCAAAATTTTGTAACTTACTTTCGCCATGTAGGCGAACAACAATTATGTTATCGTTCCATGTAAATTCAAGCTATAATATATTTTTAGGATAAATTGTATTAATGAAAATTAACGCATTATTATTATTTCTGAAATTGACATTGGCATTTCAATGTTTATATAAAGGTAATAACTAGAGTTATCGGGTTCAAATAGAACTGTATTAACTAACTAAGAAATCAGGGCCCGTAATATATGAACGTGGTTAGGTGACCAGGGTAGCTCAGCGCCGACTTGACCCTAAGCACCGGATTTGGCGTTGCCGTTTTTCCTCATTTCCCCCTTTTTAGGAAAAAATCATAACATTTTTTAATGGAGGGTAAGGGCCCAGGTCGGTTCTGGTTCGGTTAACTTAAGAATTTAATGACTATTTTTCAAATCTATTTAAATGTAATATAAGAGTTTAATCTGTGTTTGAGTGATTAAACAAAAATCTTGTAATTTTGTTTTGTTTTAGGAGCATTGGCCGTAGGTAGAAATAGGGGAAAAGGTGAGACAGATATTTGTAAATTATTTCAAAAATAAACATTTATAGAAATAATCTCAGCATTCCATACTGATCAAAAATGCACTTGTGGCAAAAGTAAAGTTGCCAATTTAAATATTGACGAAAATATTAATGGAATTAAATTGAAGGGTAATAACGATGTGATTGGAGGAAATTATTTTGGATTTGGAATTGCAAGTTTTTTTATTATATCGTTTTTAGATCCACAAAATTTAAAATAATATTTCATTCAATCAGTTTTTATCGTTTTTTTTAATGTTTTTATGCTTTTAAAAAATCAAAAACGATTGAAAATTTTTACAAAAATTTTCTTTAATAGTTCAATATATGTTGATTAGAAACAGACGTGCATGGATACGTATAATATCCTGATTCCCGATGATGGATATGACTCAATAGTTGCACGGATAGTCGGCACAGATAGCAAAATGCGTGATAAATTGTTCATAAACCAGCCCCCACCCCATATTTTGGTCTCAGATTAATTTTCTTTCCTTGTTTTTTCCTTCATTAGAAAAATTTTTGTTAATTTTTATCGTTGAAAATTGTTTATTCGTAAAAGTTCTATTAAATGAAAATAATTTATATAAGTTTCTCTTTTTGTTAGAGCTCTGCCGGAAGTCGGTATTTGATGACAAAATCAAATATTTCTATAGGAAAAAGATAAATTAACTTTTAAGGTTCAACATGCATATTGGCCAGCTGAAAAAATATGTGTAGCCTTGAAAATATCTGTGGATGCTTCTGATGCGATACAAAGAGAAGTCGACGTTTTAACGTATTTTAATGACTTCCCAGAAAATGACAGAAATCATATAATAAATATGTTTGGATAGTAAGTTTATACAAGTTTATTTGAAAAATATAATTTAAATATAAACTTAATGCTTTTCAATTTCTGCTGACATGTATATGTCTTTTGAACAAAGAAAAATTTGACTTCGATTGTATTACTCTCACTTCTATTTAAACCCTAAGGATTGAGATCAAATGGGATCGAAGCGATTTGATTTAAATTAGGGTGATTTTAAGATAGGGATCAAATCTACAGTTAACGGGATTTGCTGGGAATTCGCATTCGGTGAACAGATTGGGGTTCTCAGCTTCTCATGAGGCACTCACCGGGGAATTTTATTGAATTAAAAGCAAATGTAAATTTGGATATAGTGTAGTTCACCGGAGGTAAAAGTTCGGGACGAGACATATGTCATTCGATTCGTCTCGGCGAGCTGAGTCGAACGGTACCACTCCCAATTTCAGGAAATGATTCTGGACCGAGTTATAGGTCCCGAAAAATCGAAAAACCAAAGGGGGGACCAAGCACTTTTTTGGGGTGAAAAATTCGAATATGCAAATTATACCTCATTCGAAAGAGCTCGACGAGCTGAGTCGAATGACACCAAAATCACCGTGATCAAACAAGATTAGACAAAGTTATGACACAAAAAACTAGCAACATAAACCTATGGGGCGTCGGCGAGGCGCTTGTGCAAAACCCCGCGCTTCGCGCGGGGTTTTGCGGCACGCGCCTCGCGGGGAGTCTACGGGCGCTGGGTCTGGGCTCGTAACATAAACCTATTCCTATCTCCCTTGCTCTGGACGTATTTGGGGCCTCCGTAGCAGCAAAAATCTCCATAGATGCCATAGGTAAGGAGCTAAAATAAAAGATTATAACTTTGTCAAATCAAGTCGGATTTCGTTGATTTTGATGTCATTCGACTCAGCTCGAGGAGCTCTTTCGAATGAGGTATAATTTGCATATTCGAATTTTTCACCCCAAAAAAGTGCTTGGTCCCCCCTTTGGTTTTTCGATTTTTCGGGACCTATAACTCGGTCCAGAATCATTTCCTGAAATTGGGAGTGGTACCGTTCGACTCAGCTCGCCGAGACGAATCGAATGACATATGTCTCGTCCCGAACTTTTACCTCCGGTGAACTACACTACAGCCGTAAATTTAAATAAAATTTGATAAAACGCTTGTACTCATTGACGGGGGTTGAACCTTATTTAAACAAGCGCTCACATTCATATTTTATAAAAAATTTAAGTTTTATTTAAATAATCTCCTTGGATTAACTTTAATAAAAATGAAAAAAATATGTAAACCTATTTAATTTTAATTATGGTATTTAATAGTACTTATTAAAGCCAGAGTAAAGAAACAGAGAATGGTAAAGAGATGTTTATTGTTTTAGAACTTGGTGGGGTGCATTTGGGTTCGTATTTTTATAATACGATTAAAGATAGAGGAGGTGTAATAAAGAAAAGAACACATGAAGACCTCCTTATCAAAATAATTAGAGGAGCTGCTCAAGCACTCGAACAATTCCATAAATGTAGGAATATTATTTTAATTATTATTATATAAGATGTTTTATAGTTGATGCAATTCATGGAGATATTAAATACGAAAATTTTATTGTTTCATTAAATCAGGGTCGAGATGAAAATGTGGTTTATAGTAAATTGATAGATTTCAACACGGCTGTAGTAAAGGATATGAAACCTATAAAAAATATGGAATATATTGCTGAAATAACCAAAGCTCCTGAGATAAAAGGCACAAATGAGGTATTTTATTCATGATTAGGTTGACAATGTCTGAAAATCCGAAAATAAAATTTCGGTGCAGCTCTGCCTACATTCCATAAAAAAACCCATTTAGGTAACTCAAAAGGCTGACATTTGGGCTTTTGGCGTTATGGTCTTCGAACTGTTCCATTTTATAAAACGTAAGTATTCCTATTTTTTTACATTATTGGGTGAGTTGAACTTGTGAGATATAAATAAGATGTCAATTCTAACTCGCAAATCTTTAACCTAATTCAAGACCTAGAGAACACCGGGGTTTCTTTCTATTGAATAACATAACGTAACGTGAAATATTTTTAATTTAATTATGATTATTTACTTCTAGTGTATAATTTTTTGTTGAGAATAAAGTTAAGCAAAATTATATATTTTGATATTTTGCTGTACCAACTTTGTAATCCGTCTAAAATTAACATTCTGAGGGTCACGTAATTCCTTTGGTTCAGGTACATAAAAAATTTAGTCGGTGTATTTATCTGATCCTAATCTAAGCTTGTGGTAGACTATTTTAGAAAACGTAGGCATTCTCCACATATGTTCCTGATTACAAAATCAATTCTAATTTTATTATGTATTGCAAGAAAATTTACAGATTTAATTATAAACTAATATTTATATAATAATCAGATGAGGCTAATTTTGAGGTGTGTGAGATGGCGGAAAGATACCGATCAAATACTAAATATAATACACGATTGGATCGTGTTATAAAGGTAATAAATGACGTATTGTTAGGAGTTCAATGTATCGATTAGAAAAGCATTTGATTAGAAATTGTTAAAAATAATTTTGCAGGCTTGCATACAATATAATCCATCTAATCGCCCTTCAATGGAAGAAATTGTTAAATTTCTCAACGGAGAAATTGAATATTTTGAATATGAACTGAGTGAAATGCTCAAAAATCTAACAATTAGAAATTGAACAATTCGAATCGGAATTTTACTATTTAATGCATCGAACTTGCAGAAAATTGTTTATTATAAAACATTTTTGTTCTATGTTTAAATTCAATTTTTCCTGGTGCTGTACTCTAAACATTCGATAGCGTGTTAACAACCTTCCCCTCAAAAACGAAACTATACTGTAGTAAATAATTGCACATATTAGCTTTAAAAAAGTAGTGTGTAAGATTTAGCCAACAAACAGTTAGGGATATAACAATAAATTTAAAAAGTGCATTGAAATTCACAAAATACTCGGTGAAAACAAGAAATTATTAGAAAATATTCATTTAGGAGAGAAATATAAAAGATTTGAGCACGAATAAATATTTTCTAATTTAATTTAAAGTGTAGAAATGCTAATCGAACTTTATGATTCCAAACACATTTTATTAAGTTCTGAACAAAATTATGATTAATTGAATCTCGGTGGAATGACTTTTTGTGCTGATACTTAGGGAGTAGGTCGGCATTACAAAGCTGAAAATCATTAAAAAATTTTGAAGTTTTCTCCCAGCCACATCAAGGCTGGGATTTGATAATATGTATATTTCATGTTTTACACACTAGAGGCGGAGAAAGGTCTAATCTGATAAAAATACGATTGTAATTTCAGTAGGATCTTCAGACAAACTAATTTAAATAACTAAATTAAAAAATATTAAACATTTAAAAAAATAAAATAAAAGGTTAATTATTGACTTTAAATTTTTTTCTCTCTATCACTCTCTCCATTGCCATTACCAACAAATTGCTTAAAAATTATGAGATGGCATATCACCTGTTTGTATGTGTTTCTCCCTACACATTTACAGAGGGCTGCGGTTCCTAAGCAGTCAAAAATGGAGAGAGCTCTTCTCTCTCTCTTACTATGCCTCTTTCGTCTCTCTATTATTTCTTTCTCCTACAGAGGGCTATGCAGTCAAAAATGGGAGAGAGGAATCGCTACCCTTCTCATTTTATTTAATTTAGTCGATTCCTCTATGAATTTCTTCATTAAAAATTTTTTTTAATTTCTAAGAAATTGTCAAAGTTTTAAATTTCAATACTTATTTGGTGAAACGCTATTTTTGACTTGATATTTCAGTTTTACTTTTCTTTTAAGTTCATGTTTAAACATAAACTTTTCAAATAAATTTATTGGGATTGAGAATAAATGGGATTGAGAACCGAGGAATAAGCCCCTGAAAATAGAAAAAGCATAGGGGCGAAAAACTATATGGTCGAGAGTTTGTACAATTGATAGCTCATTCGAAAGAGCTCGTCGAGCTGAGTCGAATGACACAAAATCAACGTGATTAGAATGATTTGACAAAATTATGACATAAAGTTGCAGACTCCGGTAGGTCTAAATAATGTCATAACTTTGTCAAAACTTGTCCGATTACGTTGATTTTGTTGTCATTCGACATTGCTCGACGAGTTCCTTCGAATGAGCTATCATTTGCATAAACTTTTTTGTTCCAAAAAATCACCCCTGTGGTTGTTCAATTTTCAGGGGTCTGTATCTCGGTCCAATCAAGTCGGATTTTGTCGATTTTGGTGTCATTCGACTCGGCTTGATGTGTTCTACAATTCTTGTTTTATTATATGGAAGCAGGGCTGAGCGTCATGGACTTTGGCGTCTGGTGTTTTGCGTTTGGCGTCCATTTTTGGCCGATTTTTGGCGTTTTGCGTTTGGCGTATTGGTACTTGTGAGTTATCCCAAACCAGTTTTTGCGGACATATTTTGCGGACTCTTTTGTATACACAAAATGGTCAGTCTTCCTCCTTTCCTCAATTTCACGCTATTTCACTATAGCATTATTCAATGAGAGGCAATAAAGGATTATTTTTAAATATAAATGACCGATTTTTAAATCATGTTTGCCTCATTGAATAATGCCATAGTGAACTCTTTCCTCAATTTCACTCAATTTCACTGTAGAGGCAATAAAGAGAGGCAACAAAAAACGAATTATTTTTCTGCAATGCCATCAAATAAGAAAATAACAGATCAATCTTTTCATTTTTATTTACATATTTCAGTCATTTAGAAATATTTTTCTAGGATGATAAGCACCAAACTCTGCATTTTGAACTAATGGTCCGTTACTTCGTGTACGTACCTTAACAGAGTCTTACCAAATTAACCAGACACGGCCCGGAACAGCTTTATATTTTTGACAAATCTAACCAAATATGGTATCAACCCAGCTCAAAATGGTCAAGGATTCCGTAAAAAAGGGGTGGGGATAAACTACTATTACCGAAAAGCTGCACTGAAAGCACAGATCGGTCCACATTTTTTTATTCCGTATTTTGGTCGTTCCATGATTTGGTAAGACTGTGATTAGTCACGGTTTTCGTGGACATATTTTGCGGACTCTTTTGTATACACAGAATGGTCAGTCTTCCTCTTTCCTTAATTTCGCTATATTTTACTACGGCATTATTCAATGAGAGGCAAACATGACCTCTCATTGAATAATGCCATAGTGAAATAGCGTGAAATTGAGGAAAGGAGGAAGACTGACCATTCTGTGTATACAAAAGAGTCCGCAAAATATGTCCGCAAAAACTGGTTTGGGATAACTCACAAGTACCGGCGTATTTTCGTCTTTTGGCGCGCCAAAACGCCAAAATTATACACCCCTAATGATGGAAATTTTTTTGAATAAATGGAGGAAAGATATTCAAAAAATGAATTTTTCTGGATACAGCCTTCCAAAATTTTCAAAATTTTCGCTTGCGGCGCATAAAAAAGAGGAAATCTGGCTTCTTGACCTTCCAAAATACCAAAATTTTCGCCTGCGGCGCTTAAAGGAGGACTCCTATAATCCTCTAATATCCTTCAAATCCTCTTAATAAAAATGAAGAGTCAGCCTTTTAGCCCCTTCAAATCCTTTATTCTGAAGGGCAAAGAAAATATCACTACCTCTAAATTTCTCGATATCCCTACAAATCCGGTTCGATGATTTTCCCATTTTTCTTGAATTTTTTAAAAAAATAAAAAAAAATAAAAAAATATAAAAAAAAAAATGTGTGCCCCCAATTTCGTGTCCCCAAATTCCCAAATTCCGTGTCCCAAATTTCGTGTCCCCAAATTCCGTGTCCCCATATTCCGTGTCCCCAAATTCCGTGTCCCCAAATTCCGTGTCCCCAATTTCGTGTCCCCAAATTCCGTGTCCCCAATTTCGTGTCCCCAAATTCCGTGTCCCCAATTTCGTGTCCCCAAATTCCGTGTCCCCAATTTCGTGTCCCCAAATTCCGTGTCCCCAATTTCGTGTCCCCAAATTACGTGTCCCCAATTTCGTGTCTCCAAATTCCGTGTCCCCAATTTCGTGTCCCCAAATTCCGTGTCCCCAATTTCGTGTCCCCAAATTCCGTGTCCCCAAATTCCGTGTCCCCAAATTCCGTGTCCCCAATTTCGTGTCCCCAAATTCCGTGTCCCCAAATACCGTGTCCCCAATTTCGTGTCACCAAATTCCGTATCCCCAAATTCCGTGTCCCAAATTTCGTGTCCCCAAATTCCGTGTCCCCATATTCCGTGTCCCCAATTTCGTGTCCCCAAATTCCGTGTCCCCAATTTCGTGTCCCCAAATTCCGTGTCCCCAAATTCCGTGTCCCCAATTTCGTGTCCCCAAATTCCGTGTCCCCAATTTCGTGTCCCCAAATTCCGTGTCCCCAAATTCCGTGTCCCCAATTTCGTGTCCCCAAATTCCGTGTCCCAAATTCCGTGTCCCCAAATTCCGTGTCCCCAAATTGAGTGTCCCCAATTTCGTGTCCCCAAATTCCGTATCCCCAAATTCCGTGTCCCAAATTTCGTGTCCCCAAATTCCGTGTCCCCATATTCCGTGTCCCCAAATTCCGTGTCCCCAAATTCCGTGTCACCAATTTCGTGTCCCCAAATTCCGTGTCCCCAAATTCCGTGTCCCCAATTTCGTGTTTCCAAATTCCGTGTCCCCAATTTCGTGTCCCCAAATTCCGTGTCCCCAATTTCGTGTCCCCAAATTCCGTGTCCCCAATTTCGTGTCCCCAAATTCCGTGTCCCCAATTTCGTGTCCCCAA